ATTGGAAAATCGACTATCTACAGACTTTTCCACGATGTCGTCAACACTGTTGGTAGGATTTTGGTGTTTCAATGCATTAAATACATTTAATATAATAATCTTCTCATTCTGAGACAGCGCACATCTTTTCACGCGTTTAGCAGGTACGTAATCTGATAAGCTCGACATTTTACCCAAACAATATTATATCCACTGGCACAATAGTCACTAAACACAAGTCGAATATTACTCTACTGCACTAGCACGTCTTCGTATATTCAGCTCTATGACTGGATTGATCTGTCACAATACACTGGCTCCTGCCCTATGATGTATCCAGTAAAATATACTAATGTACACCCATTAGCATTAGTGTTACCCGATAATAACGTGAAACGAAATATTACCACGCCCATGGCCGGTTCTTATCTCGGGGTTTTATTACTCTCTTTCATTTCCAAACAGACTAGAGTCAGGAAGAGTTTCGCGTCCAATTCAGGACACCCTGTATACAAAATAACATAATATCAAAACTTCTCAATTAAGTGAAGTTTAACGGAATATTTGAAGCAGATAATTCAATTATAACTACATAATCTCTAAATATAATACAAATACAAAATTATTTTGTTACTTGACAGATTAAAATACAATCTCGAAAATTATAAAATAAAAATGAGACCAGATGTCGACAGCTTTGGAATAAGAAATATATTACCATTATCATAATTACCAAAGAAGTTTTTATGATAAGTAAACTACTAATGTAATTTAGTTCTCTGGTTGAAATAAAATAAAATTTAGATTAACCTCCTAAATTTATTATATTTTTGTTTTTAAACGACGTATTCGCGTTTGTTTAACATAAATGAATTTATAAACGTTTATAAATAACAAAATAACGTTATAAAAGTTTGAAATATTTTTATGACTTTCTACACATAAAAATTGTTGTCATGCAAATAGGTACCAGAGATGATTCCGTAAGTTCCCAAATTTTCTAAACTTTTGTTTCTTATACGAAACTGTCTATTAAATATATTACATTAACAACTTACAACTGTTATTTATTTTCTATCTTATTGGAACTGGAAACTATTTTATCGACATACTAAATAAAATAACTAAATACCACTAATGTTTCTATGAACAAACTTCTGTACCCATCCTTAGGATAAAAAGATATATAGCTCTCACAGCAGTTGTAGAAGCGCTAACGTATTATTTGATACACTCTGTATACTGACATATATTAGATCAAATAATTTCTCTACGGTTGGACCATATGGCAAACGTAAGCCTGTTATGCAAGAACGTTGTTACATGTTATACGTTCTTGCAAAATGTTGGTCAAACTAAACAATGCATATTTTATTACAAGTATATTACTATTGTCTAGGTATTTTTTAATTAATGCCTAAATGTTTGCCCGGAACAGAATTTTCAGCAATTAATTATCTGTTAAGTAACCTATCAGGAAATAATAAAGACTTGTTTGTATTTATAATTTGTAATATATATTTAATATCTCTAAATATTTGTTTAAATTAACATTATAACTTATAGTTTACTTTGGTGATTATTTATATGAGAATGAAAAATAGTAAAATACCGCTGCAATTACGGATACGACCATTGATTTATTACTTTGGCAAACAATCACAGGTGTATCCATCAGCATCAGCTATATTTCTGTCCGTACAGATTCATCCGCATCTCGTTTTAAAATTTATGATCGAGGGGGATTCCCCTGGTCACTCAGCTTTCCGGTCAAGCTGTAGCACCTACAAGAAGCCGGTTTTGTATTTTTGTATACTTCTTGGCGCTGGGATTTTTTAAGAACCCATCGGTAGGTTCTGGAAAGCACACTATGTGCTATTATTCACGTAGTAGGTATGAATTTACGTTTGTGGTTAAATTATGTTGGTATTTTGGTATTTTAAGATACTCAGATCTTATTTACAGCTCTTGTAAAGCCAAAAATTCATAAACAAGGTTTATAGCGTGTTTATTTACTAGATTTTTTTTTGAACACCAAAAGGAAAGCTTTGTTTTAGTTCTGAAATCGAGAACTGTATGAATATGAGAAATGTTTTCTGAATATAGTCATACTTCATATTTTTCTTCACTCTCCCTACATCTCTTTTTGCTTGTTCTTTTTTCAATACAAATAACGTTTTGGGCTAGTTTACAATAAGCTTTGTTCCTAGAGACGTCCTTTGTTGATTAATGAAACATTAATATCTATACATGCAATATAAAGTGCAATCCATTTTCCCTCTGCGAATCCAAGAAAAATTGTATCCCAAAGGTCGTCTTGAAATTTTGTCTCAGTTATACACTAAGCACAGAAATTAAAAATCAGAATATTAAAAAATCCCAAAAATTTGGGTGATTTTCAAAGAGCTGCAACTTGGAGGGAAATGGTCGTAGAGAGAATAATAAAAAAGGAAATTGAAGCAATTGAAAAAAATTTTCGTAGTGAAAATGTTGGTTAGAAAAATGGTAAAAAAATTGCAAAATTAGGGATATTTGAGTAACTTGGCATAACTTTGTAAATATTGAATAAACTAAGGATATTGACTAACTTTTCAACCTCTAAAAGAGCCTTATGGTGTGACCAAAAAGAATTTTTGAAGTCCTTTTTAAAGAAAAGCAAAAGTTTGCTATTTTTTTTTTTCATTTTCTTATGATTACTTAAAAACTGGTGATGCTAAAAAAATTTAAACTCCAGATCCGAAAAGTAGACACTTGAAGCTTCATTTTTCTTTCTTTTTATTCTCTCTATCACCATTTTCCTCCAAGTTACAGCTCTTTGAAAATCACCAAAAATTTTGGAATTTTTTTAATATCCCTTAATTTCTGTGCCTAGTATATTTAACATTTAGTCTATCTTTAGATTCCAAAGAGCAAGTTTATGAAATTTCATTTGAGAATAGCCGTGCATGAAAATTGCGAAAAGGTATTAAGATATGATCTGGAAATGTGCAAAAAATAATTAAGAATAAAAGCACGTACTAAAATCACCTTTACGAGGAACGAAATACGTAAAAACCGTTTCAAATTGAAACAAAATATCTCCAAACAGCCATGGATAACATAATAATAATTCCAGGACGTATCGCCTTACATTTAGAGCTTCAAAATCCGTCCAAATTCCTCGAGTTGGCTTGAGAATCCTCCAAAAAGCTTTATAATACGTCGGGTCAACTTTAAACAGCATGATTTTTTTAAAATTCTCTGTTGAATACAATAAAATAGATCAAATAGCATTAAAAATAGTATTAGGAATATGTGGGAACCTTTTAAAAACTTCGAAAAAGAATGTAGAAATATCTTGAAATCCTCGAAATATTTGGAAATACTTCGAAATATCTGGGAGGAGTAGATCTCCACACTTGGGCTATTGGTATCAAAGAGCATTACTTAATTTCGTTTGAAAGAAACATTTTATTAAATCTATTTGAATTAGCTTTAAAATACACCTTTAAAATATGCAAACATCTCTTTTTAGAAATTCATAATGGGTGATTTTTTCAAAACTACTATTTCTTCGATATTTTTTCCTAGCAATATCCTGCGGCTATCCACGTTCCCATAAAAAACCATGACAAATATCTTTATTACCAATAATTTTATAGGTTTGACCGTAGCTTTAATGCCTTATCATTATTAGTATTCTTCGCGAAGATAGTTATATAACAGCGGCTCAAGGTTACGCTTGTATCTAATGAGACATCTTTACCTGCGATTTGACATCATCTTTATACATATCAAGTAGAATAAATTCAGTAATTTTTTGGTTGCATATTTCCTACCAGCCTCGACAAGGCCTAAACGAGACGAAAATTATTACGACACCACACTCGAAATTACCTATATTTCGCAAAACGTCAAAAGTGTGGAATGTTGTTGCGAATATAGCGACATACGGATCTCGACGAGCCCATAATTAGAGCAAACCCGCCCGGAATGTGTTTCCTTGTTGAAAAGAACGAATTATTGCTGTAATCGCTGGAATAATACACTTTGTGGAAGCTCTGTTTCGTACACAGCGATTAAACACGTTCGATCGACCTTACTTTCACCCGTAGCCGGACTACTGTGTAGATTTAGAAGTGTTAAACGCTTCTAGATAATGCACCGGTAGCTCCAAATTGGGCGAAAAAATTCGGGAATGAAAATGCACGGGGTGCACAAGAATTTTATTTTTAATTTGTCTTTTTCTAACTTTGGAAATGTTTGTGGAATTGGTTCCGTCGCTGTCGCTGGGCGCAGGTTTGGTATGATCGGAGTGATGTTGGTGTCGTTGCATAGGTTGGACCTTTTTGCATGTTTTTATAAGACTGTCGATATTTAAATGCGCTGTGCGAGAACTTGAACGTGAATACCAAGTTTTTCAAGGCTTATAAAGTAGGGGATGAATTTGTGTGTAACGGCGGCAAATCCAATAGGTTTTTCAAAGACAAAAAAGGGAAATTTGTAACTTGGTAGAGTGTTGTTGATATGCCGATAAGGGTGTGCAGCGTTGTTTTGTGGTTCTGGGATTAGATTAGATATAATTTTGCTGATTTGGTGTTTGCTGACTCAATTTCACAAGTATTTTATGTTTATACAACGTTTTATAGAATTTCGCGACCATCTGATTCCATTATATGTATACATAATGATTTCCCTCAGAACTCACTGCACCAAAATAGTGTTACGTTTCTTTTCCGAACAATTTCGTTTTACAATAACAAATCTCAAATATTGTTAATAAATAAATATTTCGAATTTTCACCCCCAAGAACGGCGGTGACAAAATTTTTAACATTAAGTCGATGTTTTGCATTGTATTAGCTATGTCCTCTCCAAATTCTATTCTTATTCTACAAATTCTAACTTTTTTCGTCCAGTGTATCGCTCGTATGATACTGACCGCCGTGTTCCATGAAGAAACGCCAGTCGCATGCAAAGGCATTGCTTAATACTTGATACATACATTCTTCCAGTTTGGCATTTTACAAAATAAAACACATGCTGTTCAACTAGTGTTTGAGCCCCTGTTATTTAGATAAAAATGATACCACTTAACGCTTGTTAAGCGTTACATAATTCGCGCAGAACTCGATTTCCAATGCAACAACGCACGGATACATTAGAATTGCCTGCTTAAAAACTCATAAAGTATTTACAGTTTTATAAGCTTTTAGGGCTAGGAGAAAACGGAAAAGGTCCCACGAACATGAATTTTCGTCCGGTACAAAGAGTAAATAAATAAATTTGGTTAAATTACAAGAAATTGCGCTGAGATAAGGGCACTCTTGATCGCTACCTTTAGTTTTCTTATAACTTTCACATATTATTAGTAAAATTAAATCTTATACAGACAAAATTTAAAACACCCTGTATATCTTATTTTTAGCAAGGCCTGAGGTTTGAACTGAGTTACAGTTTGCTGAACTAGAGTTAATCAATTTTATTGTACTTTTTTTCGAAATATTAAAATCATATTATGTTTAGATTACTTTTGGTAATTGATATTTATATTTAATTTACTTTTTGTTGCCGGAGAAAAGTATGTTGCTCTAAATTTTTTCGGAAGTAAGTAGAATTTCCGGCTGCAAATAATTATATCTACAAATTGCGTATAAAATCGATTTATATAATAGTAGCGTTAAACATTTGGTATAGTATGTACTGTACGTAATTTTTTTAATCAACAAATGTCAGCTGCTAAGTTATATTTCTTTGTTATTAAGAAAGATAGAAGATAGTAAACAAATTAGTAAAGAAAAATAAAAGATCTTACTGAATGCAGTAAAATGTAAATTTTCGGTACTTTCCTCGTTTTCATTCGTCTTCTGTGGTGACGTAGGTCCATATACATTTTCATGATCTTGTGAGTGATCATAATTACGTAAATGGAAAATTAACAAGTGACGCACCGATGATTTTTATTAGAAAATACCTCAGTTAAAGGCTATTAGTAATTATAGAATTGGGAAATGAATGCAGAGGAAACAACGATTAGCAATTAATGTTAGAAACATATCTGTAGTCATCAGCATGTAATATTTGTGTTAATCCATGATTCCAGTAGCAAAAATAGTGAATAATAACCGCAAGTTTGAGTAGACAGATAACGTAGTATATTACCATCGATGTGGTTACAATAAAAATTGTAGTGATACCGGTTGGAATAGTGACAATTCTTGTAATCGAAATGAACGTCACCAAGATGAGATGTTTGAAGATTCTTGCAATCTATTTCTTACTTGTTGCAATACCGGACATCATCCCATGCAACATTATGTCGCAAATCTATTTCATGTAAATTCCTTAAAGAAAATCCCTGCTTTGTTTAGTTGACTAATGATACATGGTTCTGCTAAATATAGAATAGTTAAATAAAACATTGTGGGGCTTTAATTAATAACATTTTTCAATTTGCTGCTTCGTTGCATTTTGTCGAAAATACTTTATTTTTATCATCGAGTCGTCAGGGACTGGATTAGATTTAAATTAACTTTTTTTACTGGTAGAAAAAACTTTCATTTTCATTTCAGTGATTCAATTATTGTAACTCTTATTTCTCTAGTTTATTTTTCACATGGTTCAATGTTTCAACTGCCTCAAGCTTGTAAACACATGAAAAACATTTTAAAATTATTCCAGAGGAATTCCGTAAGTAAATCAAGAAAACATACAAGGTGTAAGAAATTTGACTGCCATTAATTCAGCATGAGATAGAGTAATTATAAATGAACAAAAAAGTTGAATATTACAGGGGCATAAAATTAACAGTTTTCAAAATACAGTTCATTTTTATAGTATCTATATAAACAGTACACAAGGGTCAGATTCGGTCTGTAGAATTTCAACTATGACAATTGGTTGCGGGCTGCCTAAATATGTGACGTCACAGTAAAAGAGTCTATACTGATTAAACAGTTAGTAAAAAAATAAATATCCAAAATAAAATGAAATGTTAAAGTAATTAACAGAAAAACACATACCTGATATGTTTACATTCTCAAATAGGTACTGTAATCACTCAGAGAAACACTATATTCTTGCTTTTATCTTTGTAGCAACTGTTATTTTACGTCAAACTTCGTCAAACAGCAGCTGCAATCTTATAAAGAAAACAAGTGATCTAGCTTCCTTATCTTCATTTTTTTAACCCTTTGGATGGTAATATAACTGAGCAGGTATTGAAGGGTGATACAATTTTTCGATTACTTACGATGTTTCTTGTTCGATTTTTGAAAAAAATGAACGATGAAAATCATCCTGTAACGCTAAATAATTTTTCGATTTTTTGACAAAGTACGCTGTATTTTTCTAAAACTTCCAGTTTTTCTGTCATAACACAAACGTTTATTTTTTAAATGGGACTGTACTTTTGCAACTAGAGCCAGTGGCGGTCCAATCAGGGACACAATTTTTACATAAAGTAAACCCTGATCGATTTTTGTCTACGTATAAAAAGTGGTGAGGTGGTAAAACTTAATTCTAGTACCACAAAAAATAAATCTCACAAAAACGTAGTAAAATCTGTACACTAATTGAGGGGGACTGGGGACAACCCGTATAAGCGAGTGAACCACCTGAGAGCCGAACGACTGCCGCTCGGTATGAATCGACAATTAAATTTTATTCTATTTATTTTGGTTTCTCCAATCTCCGTCCCGTGTAGATATGGTAAGTCCAGGTATTACGTTAAATCGCGGTAAGGATTACCCCCTCCGCCAGCGCGATTTTTAAAAAGTGTTATATTTGACGCTATATCTACATTTCCGTTTTTTAAATGTGTGGGTATGCTCTAAAGTGGCTGTGACTTTTGTTTTGCAAGGGAGTGACCATCTAGTGCCGAACGGTGGATTTGCTAATAACTGGATTTCATTAAATGCGTGAGTAATATTTTAAATTCTCTAGAAGGTATTAAATCGTATTTACAAAAGTATGTTTCGGTGCGTCCTTTTTTGAAATTCCAGTAATTTCTTTGTCTTAATTTAATACATTTTTATTTTTAACAATTGAGGAAAAAATCACATTGCATCACATAAAAAAGTATTACTGTTAGAAAATTTATTAGATGCAACTCTATTTTTTTTTATTAAACCGGAACAATGTCTATAACAGTTCATAATTGAAAATCTCTCGGAATTGGAAATATTTTTATTACAAAACAATGTATTTTCTACCTCACTTATGTCCTTTTCTATCAAAACATTATATGAAAAACGATATAAAAAATAGTGACATTGTAAACACCGTTTTGTTAAATATAAGTTTATTAATTTCGGGGGATTACGTTTCGAATTCCACCCTCAGGCGTCTTTTAAGGCTGGCGTTTTATAAACAAGAAATCGCACTTTTAGTAAGGCATAAAAATGATGAAATATAAGGATTTCTTTAATTTTTCGCAGTCAAAGATCAATAGAATTTTAAATCAGTGATTTTGTGACTAAAATACTAGTAGCAAGTAGTCTGCAGATATACACTTACATGTTTCCTACTCCAATTTACCATTAATTAATTATTTTTATGGAAAAAACGCATTTTTTAGTATTTTGGTTATAAATCCTAAACTGAGGAAGCAATTTGAATGCTATAAAAAGACAATTTGTGGAGAATCGAAATATAAATAAAACGAGAGGTCGACCGAACCGATCCGATAATTAGAAACGAAGAAAACTCGGAAAAATCGGAATCGGGAATCGGTTTTTAGCCACGAAATTTGAATAATTCCAAATATTTCGAATTTTCACCCCCAAGAACGGCGGTGACAACATTTTTAAAAATATGGCGATGTTTCGCATGGTACCAGCTATGTCCTGTACACATTTAGTTTCGCACAACTCTCTCGGTTTCGAGAATTCAATACCTATGTATGTTTTCAGCCACGAAATTTGAATAATTCCAAATATTTCGAATTTTCACCACCAAGAACAGCGGTGACAACATTTTTAAAAATATGGCGATGTTTCGCATGGTAGTAGCTATGTCCTGTACACATTTAGTTTCGCATAACTCTCTCGGTTTCGAGAATTCAATACCTATGTATGTTTTCAGCCACGAAATTTGAATAATTCCAAATATTTCGAATTTTCACCACCAAGAACAGCGGTGACAACATTTTTAAAAATATGGCGATGTTTCGCATGGTAGTAGCTATGTCCTGTACACATTTAGTTTCGCATAACTCTCTCGGTTTCGAGAATTCAATACCTATGTATGTTTTCAGCCACGAAATTTGAATAATTCCAAATATTTCGAATTTTCACCACCAAGAACGGCGGTAACAACATTTTTAACACAAAGCAGGCGCTGTCGGACCATTAGTTTTCCCACAATTGCAATTTGAATTTTTTGGTGCTTTATTTTGCAAAATTTCTAGATGCGTTGGAGGCGGTCCCGATTTTAATTTTTCAACCGGAGTTTTTCGATTCTAATTATCCGATCGGATCGATCGACATCTCGTTTTATTCGTATTTCGATTCTCTACAAATTGTCTCTTTATAGTATTCAGATTGCTTCGTTAATTTAGGTTTTATAAGCAAAAAACTAAAAAAAATGTGTTTTTTGCATAAAAATGTTTATAAAAATTAAGGAAACGTAATGATAAACATAAAAAGTAAAATTATATGCTTTTTCCCTATTTCTCAATCTCTGTCAGCTTGTAAACTGTCTTTATCGCAGCGTAGACGTAACAGTGTGTCGTTATTCATTGTAAACGAATCACTAATACTGATGACGCTAAGATTTAGGGATTTTTAGTTGACAGTATCAGCCGTGCGATGTCGGTTGTCTAAGTCAGTCACGTGGCGGGCAAGAGAAAATTAAAACCCACCAGTTTATTGTAGAAAACCGTGATATAAAAATTGCGGGGTTTTCGATGGCAGTGGTCTATTTTCGTCTTGAGTTTGAAAAAAACTTAAACATTTCATGCCAAATTACTTATATATACTTCCAATAAAATCGAAAAAAAAAATCTTAATGTTTGAAAATTCCCATCACATTTTTTTTTAGGTATTACGGATCGGAGTTTGGTTGCATATCATATAACAGAGTCACGATCCTGACATGTTCTTAATTTCGTTAATTTCACTATTATAGTTTTAATTGCCATTTTTTCACAAGTAAAGATAAGCTGCGATAAGGTCGCTGCAATTGTAACAAAATATGAATTACCTACTCGGGCAAAACCGAGCATTCAAGATACCATTACCATAATCATAAATCTCCTTTATTTTTCTAACAAGTATATATTCCCCGAAAATTATAATTAATATATTTGTGTAGGCTGTCGCCAGTAATTGATGACACTGAAAGATGGTCATCAACATGTTTGTATCTTTTTTTGTTTTTACTTCACTTTTTATTGTTGGTCTTAGAAGGCGATGAAAATAAATCACTCCTTTAACAACGACTTTAACCGACTTAGCCTCGTCTAGGACTTATTTTGTCTTAGCACATGGCACACTATGTTGTCGTAGCGACGATATTCTTTTCAAACAGCTCATAGAGAGTAGCATTGAAATTTTCAAAAGCCACGTGAATCCGGTTTCAAGTTCAAGTGCTTAAACACCTACAGACCGAACATAAAGAAGTGATCAGAAAAAAATCTCTAACGACCGCTTAAACACGAACAAACGAACAAGGATGAGCGAATATAAACAACAAACACCCGATAATTAATTTTTTTCTATTTGCTCGTCAATTCATTAAGGTAGGTACAGTCGAGGACATATTAAATCGTTCTTGAAGGATGAAGAGTCAATAGAACGGAAGAGATAGACAGCCAAGTGAGTTCTGTTGTTAAAACTGAGAATGACTTTGCTAACTATGGACAGTGAAGCCGAAGGTTATTAAAGATGATGCGAATTATGCTCGTGTTTTTGTAACGCGACTGTTACACAGTATTTATTAGTTTTCTCTGGGAGTTTTAAGGATGAAAGAAACAGATCTGTTCGAAATTCAAGTAATTATTTTGGGGAAAAACGCTCGGACACTTCGATTAGTATTTTTAGTTGCGGATTTTTTGACATAAGACAATTGCATACACGGAATATATTACGAAAACGATTTAAGAGATATGGTATGTTATATACAAAAAGTGTTCAGAACTTACCATACAATTCAAGAATGGCATAATATACAGGGTATTCCATGAAAAAAAATCAATGATGACTGCATACGTTCTTCTTGAAACACCCTGTATACAATTTTCTTATGTCCGCAATCCACAAAATAATTACCTGATTTCATCATGAATGCACTGTATGGATGTTGACATTTTGTTGAACTCTTAAAATTGTTGCTATAAAATGAACGCACTTTAGTTCCACTTTGAATCCTCGTGAATTAATAGTTGCGCTTTAGCTTCTAGGATTCTACTTGTAATAATTAAAAAAAAGTTGTGAAATTCTACATATGGCAATGTCCTTAAAATTCTTTTTACCCTAACAGTCACGAGTGGCAGTGACGAAACGACGGTTTCAGCGTTAAAAAAGGTTACAGCTTAAGAAATTTTACTGGTCAAGAGAAACTACATGTATAAATTAGTGTTGAACATAAATTATAGCTTAGTCGGTGATATAATTATAAATAAACAGCAAATTCCCTCAACCTTACTGCTTTGTTATTTCTTCTGTATCTAGTCTATGACAGAAAACTTGTTTTATTTATTTGGATACAGCTTCTTGATAAAATTCAGGAGAGATGTCAGTTCTGCATGAAAAATCAGACCAACAACAAATGAAGATGTCCGTGAAACGAGGAAGAAGACGAGGAATTCTCTCGTATTTTCCGAAACAATTAACAACATTAAACGACCATTAAAGGCCACTAATGGGCATTGAATTTCAAATAAAAATGAGTAATAAGAAGTTCCGGAAGATGACAATACCGATTTAAGTAATTTAATGTCAATAACAAATAGTTTTCACAACCGCAATCAAGCGAGCGTTGCGAATAATAAGTGAATAGTGGTGTAAACTCAACACTCCAATTTGTATACCATGATAATTTGCACGACCTTTGCATTAAGTCATAAGTAAATAATATCGTTTAAGTAACTTCAGTACAGTTATGTCGTTAACGTAAAAGCCTGTATTATCGACCGACATACGTATTTTCTCATGGTTTCTTGAATTCTTAAGCTGGGATATTGCACATATCCTCGCAAATTACGAAAAAGGTTATAATATTAATTAGTGACATAACTTTGGTATAAAAGTGTTGCACAACTCTAAAAAAAATTCGTCTCTACTAAGATCGTGTGATATTCTTTTTATGACATGGGCATGCAAAAAATGGTACGTCCACCGTCGGAATACTAATACGGAGACGAAGACCCTGACCTCTAAGCGTATATAAATAAAAGAAGTTTGTATTCGGTTTGGTAAAAACATAAATTTTAGAAAAGATTCCACAAGATCATATCATGGTTAGTAGGTTACATGTTTCTTGTCCTAGAAATCAGAAACAGGAAAATTACTCTGTCACTGTCACTAGACACTTGAAGCTTCAATTTCCTTATTTCTTTATTCTCTCTGCAACCATTTCCCTCCAAGTTACAGATCTTTGAAAATAACCCAAAATTTTGGGATTTTTTTAATATCCCTTAATTTCTGTGCCTAGTATAATTTTTTTAATCGTAATTTCGACACCTCGTATTTTGAAAAAGTAGAGTATAAACAAAAAATGTTACACGAAAGGTCCCACTTTATTTATCCAAAGAATCTGTGTTAACGGCTTGATCTACTTTCTTGTAACACCCAGTATATCAGCGTCAGCTCACATGAGTAACATGCATAAACCGTAATAAATATTCCGCTCGGTATTGAATTGTCCGCATACATTAATGATAATTGTAGGATCAAACCACAATTATCACATGTATGTTGTCCGATTAAATGCATCCTAGTCCTTTTTTGCTGTCCGGTTTTTCCTTACGTGCCCGGAATCAGCTACTTCTTAAACTTATGTGGGTGGTGTAAAGATTATAAATCAAAGGTGCTGTGTCACTTGGACTAACGTCATAGGCATCACTTGGGATTCCTACATCGACCCGATCAAAAAAAAATTGGGAAATGAACGGCTTACGCTGACGTCTTATTTTAATTTTTTCCATAAAAAAAAATAGTGTACGTATATGAACGGCATATGAGTCAGGTGTTTCCTTATTAGAAAGTATGTCCTAATTAAAAGGCAAAAACTAATTTGCGAAACAGAGAAATGTTTAAATTCTACATTTTTCAAATTTTAAATCTAGATAACTAGCTCTTAAAATAAGTTTTTAATAAATCATAAAAGCAAGCATTTCAAGAATTCAAACACATTCAAAACGTTTTTTCTGAAATATCTTATCAAGTGAAGTGAAACAATGTTTCTCGATACCAGAAATCTACGCAAATGATACCTAAACCCTAAACCCACAGACAATACTCCTAACTGCTGATACTGTGACCAAACTAGCATTGAACTATACCCCCAATATAAAATAAACACATGAAATACACGCAACAAAGTCTTACAAAGAACTGAATTTAAAATTAGCAGCGTGAGCAAGTACGGTTCTGTTAAGGGCGGTTTTTCCCGAACTCTACATTGATATAGTCTTTCCGATCTCAATTGAAGACAAAGAGCTAGGCGGTATGTACCAGGTTCGGTCGCTACACAGCAACTCGGCATTGGAATATTTGAAATCTTGTTCCCATATTAATTTAGCCATACCCATATACAGGTCTGGTCGACCAGTTGAGGAATGGGTGCGCGGGCAAACGGCGCACAAACACAACCGCACTAGGCGACCGGCCATAAATTTCAGTTGATGACAAATTGCCTAGCAGTGCAGTGCAGCAATGCGGAAATTGGTGTGATTCAGGTACTTTTAATTTATTATAGGCACATATTACAATTGCGAAAGGGAGAAATAAGAGGGATATTTTGTTTACCAGTATTATTATAACATGGCATTTTGGAGACCATGTAAATAGCGGTTCTCAAACTGTATTTGTGAATGTAAATAAGTAAAATTTAATATAAATCGTTGATATCCGTTTAGCACGTGGCAGCGTGATTGATTATATTTTTAACAAGTTCTATTTTCATTCAATATCGGCTTTGTTATCAAGGATTAAACATTTTATATTTTTACAAACAACTCTTGTTGACATTTCCTCAAATAATCGCGCGCGATCGATATAAAAACGATTCTTTTCTTCAACTGTGGCCCCAAGTGAGAACCCTGGGAGACGCCTGAAGTGGTATTGCAATTGTGCATAGATTTGACAAGATCAGGCGGGATGATTCTGATAATTTAAATAAAATATAAGCAGGTGGGGATTTGTACGAAAATAATAGCGATTGTTTATCTACAAAAATTATAAATATTAACAATAAACGGATTAGCCTGGATTTCTTTAGTCCCTGATAACGCTGAGATTTTATTTTCATTGAGGTGCTGTAAAAAAACATGTATTTAAATTTTACAACTTCTCGGAGTAATAAAAAAAGTGATGCAAGTGAATTAGTTGCGATATTTATTAATAAATATTAATATGCTATTATATAATTTTTTTTTGCTGCTAGTAACATCCCCCCTTTCTATGAAACTAGTTATTCTATTCTGAGAAGATAGAAATTAACGATTAAACAATGGGGAACTATTTTTACAGTTAATAAAAAAAAGATGTATCAATTGACGATTAAATTATTACATGGAAAAGAGGAAATCCTGCATTAGAGCTAAAGATATAACAAAATTTTGACCTGGTGTAAATGCACGTGGACAAAACCGCTTAAATTGGGAAAATTACGACGGATTAACAAATAAACCTCACGTGTTAATAATTAAATACACGGATAATTTGAGCTAACGATACCTGTTATTATTTTAAATAACATAACATTTTCTTTAGAATTCACACATTTGCTTTATCAAATCAAAGATATGAATTAACAGCTTGAAATGTGTGGTACATAATAAAAAAAAGCACGACATTTGACGTCATTCGATTAGTGATATGGCCTACTTATTTGCGAAAGTAGGTGTAGTACAGTTAAAAAAAATAACAATTGTACTTATTTATAAGTAGAAATTTATTAGTATCTCCTAAATTTTACGTGATTTCTATTTATTGATAATAATAATACAAATTACACTTTTACTTTTTATTACATGCCTACAATTATATTTATAAATGTAACAAAACGTAAAATCTCAAAACGAGTCTATTTTAGACAATTAATTCAATCCTTACTTCAATATTTGATGATCTTTTAAGATTTCGATAACATAATATGTGACATAATTTTAAATGAACCTTAATCAGTTGATATTAAACAGTACAGTTATCTATTTGCTTTTGCTTGAAGCTATCAATAATGTAACATTGTATTTTTTATACTTCTATATTTTTAACTTCTCTACAGGGTGATTCACAAATGGTGACCAAAAATGAAACCTCGTATTCTTGGGTGAATTTTAAGGGGTTTTTCCTATAAAGTTTTTATCTAGGACGCTTCGTTAAAAAGATACAGGGTGTTACACTTCAAAAAATATTTTTAATTTTTTTAAATAATTTAAAAACTAGTAGCAACCAAATTGACAAATAATTAACGGGAATCTAAACCTGTGTAATATCCTTTCAACGGATTATAATTGGTGGATTCGGAATGACGCAGCATTTAAATCTTTAATGGAATTATTACACGATTTTGCGTAACAGCAAACACACGTTCTAGTGACATTGACACACTAAGATCCCAGCAGATTATTGACTTCTAGCAACTATTTTAAATTCCGCAATACACCCGTACAACAAACATCTAAACAACGTTTATATAACGTCGCTATTAGTGATTAGTATTTTTTTCGTAACTGCAACACGACTTTATTAAGTAATTTGGCTTTGCGCGTGCTTTGATAATTATTTTTTAACAATGTATTCTTAATGGTACGTACCAGTGTATACGGGTTCTGCCAGCGTATTAATTGACTGGATTAAATGTAATATTATGAACACTTTCACGTTTTGTAGGGTATTGAACCAATACCAATTAATTAATAATTATTATGTGTTTAGTTTTTTATTTCTATTGGAGTATTCCGTTTTTTTTTTGTACATGTTAGGCATTGTTTATGTGGTTGAAGGAAATAAAAATAAAGAGGAACAAACAATATTAAATCAATGATTTTGTCATGGGCGTAGCTAGAATTTTTGTTTGGGGTGGGTCCAGCCCTGTAAGCTCTATGGAGCCTCTAAATTAAAAAGCTTTCGCAGTAAGCAACTTGCCGAATAAAATTTCAAAAACCTGAAAATCCTAAAAAAAGGTCACGTTGTCAGCGATATGACGATAATTAGACCAAGTTATAATTACATATTACAATTATTTAAATAATTTTTGTTTAAACAAATTAATTTTTTTTTATTTGGAAATAAATTTTTTTGTTAAATAACAGAGAAAATAGTAGTTTAAAGTTATAATTTTTGAAAAAAACTAAATTGCAAATTGATAAATTTAATCTAATTGTTTAAAAATAAAAAAAGTGTTAATTTTAAAAATTTACTGTGGTCGTCCTAATCAACCGATTTGAATTTTTCAAAAACCATCTGGAAGGTTGAGCGGTCTTTTCTATGTGAAAAAATTTTCAAGTATCTGGATGCTTTATTTGAGGCCGTGCAGCATTTTGAAAATTCGAACATTTTTTTCAAAATAAAAAATTAGTTTGCGAAAACTGTCGAGACGATTTTAATGAAATTTCGTGTGTTGTTTTATTATACTATAAAGTTTTTTTGTACTAAAATATTTTTAAAAAATTATCCAAAAAAACTTGATTATTTTACCTTTTTTTCATCAATTATTGCTATTTTGCAACATCCTATTCTAAAACTTTTTTCCTCTTCAATATTCTTCCAAAATGCATAAGTTCCAAGATATAGGTAAAAAACTCAGATAAAATAAGTTTTTTTTTAAATTTTTTAAACATTTTTGCAATTTTGAAAATGTTCCGGACCTCGCCCAGATCTAGAGATCTACACGTTTATTATGCGAGTTGCACTGAAGGTATTCCAGAAAAAAATTGCTTGCCCCCCTTACATCCAAGAAGCGGGATATTTCATACATTTTCTTCTGTCCCCAAAAGTAGCACCTGTAGAAGCGACGTAAAATATAAAGAAACACAATTTACATGCCTACATCTTTTTGAATTATTATTTATTTACTTTATGTTTATAACAACACCAACAATTGTACGTTGTATTCCCAAAACAGTTTAACATTCAATTAACCGCCTATTGTTGTTTTCGTCTTCTGTTATTCATTGCCTTACTAATTGTACATTATTTTTTATTATTTAGATGGAACAATGTTTTTGGTAGTTTCGCTTCTCGTGATTGGCACTGTTAAGGCGAATGTTGTTTACAAGGAAGGACGTACGGGTAAGTCCGAAGTCGATCATAACAATTTAATAACAAAATTTTAGACCATTTAAAATACATGGTAATACTATAAACACAGTATTGTTCAGTTGGTCATGCAAAATAAATACTTATTCTTGAAAAGCTACGACCAGAACAGATTATAGCACGGAAGGCTAAAGAAAATACAAAACGTCACCTCGTCCTTTTCTAAATCATTGGTTTAATATACATTTAATTACAAAAAATACCAAAGACACTTGTCCATACTCTACCAAATTATTGTTAAATTGAATTTCTAAAATATTTTGATGTAGCTTTTGAAATAAAAATGATGGATTTAAATCTGGTGCATCAAATGGCTATATCAGTACTTTTCAAATAATTCTGACACAATTTCCTTGGCTTAAATAAACAATAACGACAAACTCCTTTCCATCTTTCAATATCTTTGGAGTGAAGTGATATTTCACTCATAAATTATATTTTAGATGATCAAAACGCCACAGACGTCCATTTGGAATACGTGCTTCTAAACGAAGACAACCCCTGTGCCAGAACTTGCACGCAGGGTGCTTCTCCTATGATCTGTCGGTACCACTTTAAAATAGAATATTACCACACGCTCAGCAAGGCTTGCTACGATTGCCCTCTCAACACTAGCGACTGTTTCCGACAGGACTGCGTCCCGGGTGACGGGCACAAGAGGGCTGTGGTCACCATCAACAGACAGCTGCCTGGACCCACCATAGAGGTATTTGTTACTAACATTTTTAATGTTTGCATACTGCACTTAGTTCGATTATATATTAGTCCCAGTTTCTTATCTTTCTTAATCGAATATTTCACACAATAAACATAAAAATACCCAGTACGGCAGCCGTAACAGTCGATTTCTTTTATGCATTCGTCAACAAATATGACCAGTGATGTAATGTTGAATGTTTATGTATATTTAAGTTGGGTGTAGCAAGTTACAATTAATTTTATTACTTACAGTGAAGTGAGGTTATAACAACATCCCAAAGGACAATGAAATCGCGTCGTACTACTAAGAGAATGATGTAATAAATAGACTGAAATTTAATCTACATGAAAACAAACTTGAAGGTAGAAATATGTCACAATATGCCATCACTATAAAAGGAATCTTAATAGTCAAACTCCACTGTATTACTATAATTGCTTTTAATTTTTTTTAAGGTAATGAACATTTAAGTCCGTATCTAGAATCGCCCAGAAAAGTCACAAATCCAATTATGGTATAGTAAAATTGTAATTTCTATTTTTATTTCACACTGTTACTGTTCTTTTTTAGGTAATTTATTTTTTGTTATTAGAACAATATATTTATTTTATATACTTCAATATTCTGCTTTGTACGACTGTAAGCTTTTTCGCTAGACTTCCGTATTTAACAAAAACAATTTTCTAAGAAGGTGAATCAAGTCATTTCTATGTAATTTCATATTTATTTTGCGAAATATACGCGAGGTCAAGGAACGAAGGCTAAACCGCTAAAAATAGATAAACAAAACACTAATAGCGCTGTTATACAGGGTGTGGCGTGTATAATCTATAAAAATTAAACTACAGGTTCCTAGCGATATTTGCAATAGAAAAGTTTTATACGAAAAAGTTCAACTTTTGCGTTTTTTTTTTCGTAAATTAAAGTCCAATTATGGATCAAAATATTTTCTCTGAAACGGTCCTGTCCGTAAGTTGTACGGTAAGTTACGTCCTGTAGACCAATCGCGTAAACAAATCGTCGTTGAAAGATACTTCTCAATTTTTGGGAATCTTTCAATGCAAAAGTACAAACTAAGAAAAATAGATATTAAAAAAACTGATGTTCTTATTATAATAATTAATAGTAATTACTATCTTAAATGCATTGTTGCTACTGCAAGAGTTCGCAAACAAAACCACATCCGTAAGCATCTGTATTCCCCTAATTATGTCAGCAGCTTTAAGTATACGATTTCGGAATTCCTCCACCGTAGCAATTGGAGTATTGTAAACCAATGACTTCAAGTGACTCCAAAGATAAAAGTCCATTGGAGTTAGATCGGGTGACCGAAGTGGCCACGGCACAGGACCAAAGCATCCAATCCATCGCTGAGGACATATTTCATTCAAAAGTGTCGTTACTTCTCGAGTACTGTGTGGAGGAGCTTCATCTTGAAGACAAAACATGCATGCCCGAACTTGTAATGTCACATCGTACAATAATTCAGGCAACCGGTTCTCCAAAAATTCAGCATATGTTGGTTTTTTAGTCGTCCTTCAAAGAAATAGGGACCCACAAGTACATCGCCCATTATGCCAGCCCAAACATTTACCAAGAACCGATGTTGAAAATGAGTTTCCCTAATCACGTGAGGATTTTCATCGGCCCATATGTGCATATTATGGAAATTCACTTCATCACGGGTAAATGTCGCCTCATCTGTCACACAAACATAAGCAGGAAAATCTACTTGATTTGCACATTGCCGTAAAAACCATCTGCAAAAACGCATTCGTTGATTACAACCCGGGGGTAAAATCTGATGAACTGGTTGCAGATGATAGGGGTGCAACAGCTGGCGCCTTAAGTTGCGATGTACGCTACAAGATGAGGTTCCTACTTGCTGTGCGAGTCGTCGAGTACTAATTGTGGGGTCTTCGTCAAGATTTTCCAACACTGCATCTTCAACATTAAGGTTCACTTGCTGACCACGCCCTTCTCTTCGAGGGATAACACTTCCCGTATCTCGCAGCCGCTGAACGCACTGTAGGATTGTATTTGCACATGGGGGTTGACGTTGTGGCCATCGTTCCTGGTACATCTTAGTCACCGCGAGCGCATTTTCTCCGGCTGCACCATACACTGACGCCATATCGACATGTTTGGAAATAGTAAATGCATTGTTCTCTCGGTTCGTTGTAAAACTAGTTTGTGCACAAACTAAAAAATTAAGCAAAGTAAGAAATAAGAATCTCGGTTTTAATGTAATCGGCACGATATTCTTATTTACAAAAAAAAACGCGGAGATAGAACTTTTTCGTATAAGATTTTTCTATTACAAATATCATCAGGAAGCTGTAGTTTAATTTTTATAGATTATACACGCCACACCCTGTATATTAGTTAATAAGTTAAAGTTAAAGAAATACATGCCATATATAAACAGGGTGGTTCTTACGTTCTTTTTAATATTGACAAATTGACTTATAAGTAAAGAACAAAGACCCTAAAATTAGTAATCAAATTTTGTTAATCTATAATATTTATTCACTTGACCTTAGAAGTATTTTATGTAACACTTCATATAGAATTTTAACTTCAGAACATTTCTTAAGAAATAACAGCTAAAATTACTATTATTACACAAACCATTTAATCTTATTGCAGAACTTCTCTGCTGTTTACTATCACGTTTTGAAAATCTCCTTGTGGCAAATAACTGCATATTACTTTTACCGTTACAGTTGAAGAGACACGAGGTAAAACTGTTTTTAAAATTCACCCTTTCTATATACATCATTAACTCGCAACGAGGTCAGAAATGCCCATTCATCATCGTCTCTAACGTTTATTTCTCAACGACATTTTTTTATTAGGTATGCCAAGGCGACATCATCGTGGCGGATATCACCAACATGCTGAGCAGCGAGGGGACCACCATCCACTGGCACGGGCAGCACCAGAAGAACACCCCGTATATGGACGGAGTGCCTTACGTCACCCAGTGCCCCATCCTGCCCCACGACACCTTCAGGTATACCTTTAAGGCGGCGCAGGCTGGGACGCATTTCTGGCACTCCCACATAGGTGAGATAATTTTTTATTTCTGTATTTCTCGTCAATTTATGGCGAATGTCAGCAAAACATTGCAGTGGCATCGCGCCGTTGGGAATGGGAATGTTTTGAAAATAAAATTTCCGCTAGAACTAATTCCAACCAGCAGTGTTAAAACATAAATCAATTATTTGCGCGTATTTTTAGGGATGCAAAGGGCGGACGGCGCCTTCGGGGCATTCATCGTGAGGGTACCGGAAGAACAAGATCCACACTTCCAATTCTACGATTACGACCTTTCCGCTCACGTGATCGCTGTGTTAGATTGGGAGAAAGAAACGGGGTTGGAAAAATTCTTGGCTCACCACCACAACGACGCCGACAACAAGCCTACGACTTTGCTGGTAAACGGTTTGGGGAGATTTAAAGAATTCGATGACGGGACGAATACGACTGTGTATACCCCAACTGCCAGATTTAAAGTGGAACAGGTGAGGAAGATTTATAGTTGGTTTCAAAGGGTATAAGTATAATGCGGAATTAACAAAAAAGTTATCTTAAATATGTAATAGGAAACGGGAAAACCGGAAAATGTACAGGGTGTTAAAAATTAACGAAAACATGTGACTTACTTCAACAAAAACAGTTGAAGGAATCGACATAAATAATGCTTAATTTTGTTAATAAACAACGTGGTTATTTGAATAATAAGTCAGTTTGTTTCAAAAATAATTTTTTAATTTCTGGTAACATGCGGTAAGAAAACATTTTTCCAGATTTTTCAGTACCTCCTCTGTCAAAGATGCGAGCGAAAATTACTATACAGGGTGTTAATTAAGTATGTACAATAAATTCAACAGACGATTATTTGAGTGAATTTAAGACAAAAAGTTCATATAAACATTGGTCTGCAGATGTTTCGCTTTGAAGATACTTTTGTAAAAATATTATTAATTCGTAAATATCTTAAATACCCTTTACCCAATTTTGTTGGAATTTGGCAGTGTTAATTAATTGCACTTCCACTTAATTGCATATTCCTGGACCATACAAGAAACATGGGGAAACATTTATTTTGGAAATTATCATTTCTTTATAATTTTTTACGAATAACATGTAACATCTAAATAACATAAAGTACAAATAACACTGCCAAGTTACAACAAAATTTACGGTGAATGTAGACAAAACGCTGTAGCCGCAGAATGTCGATATGCACCAAGTGCTGAAAAATTTGTAATACTCATTCAGAGGTATCTTATGTTCCGTTTTTTTGAATTGATTTGAAATAACAGAGCTGATGATGACTTCCGGTATAACCGAAAGTGCGAGGAACCTGACAGTTTTCATTGAATAGATCTTTTTAAAAAAACCCTGTATACAAATTTTCAGATTTCAATTCTGACTACTGTTTGAGATAATCCTACTGGGCCCTCTTCGTGATACACCCTGTATATCTTTAAAATATGATTTCCTGGTGACTTTTTATTAATTGCAATGTATATCTTTGTCTGAAACATTCTTTAAACTTTGTGGTGTATAAATCATTTCCTTGAAATCTACTTAAACCAAAGGTTGGTCTGAAAGACAGGAGAAATCGGGAAACAGTCTCTATGCAATACTTTCAATAAATCAACCCTTGCACAAACCACCCCCTGGGAGGACCCTCATCTCTATTCAGTGTCTAGTAAAATCCTAAGACAACTTGCTTTGGAAAAATATTCACGCAAATCGTAACCAAACGATGTCAAAATTCACTCAAGTTTTGAATTCGTTAGAATTCGGTATTAAATAATTCATTGTCAATTAATTAGCAACGTAAAGAAGCCGCCTGCGTTTATAAATATTTGATTTGGTATTCATTCAAGTCAAGGTTATCACTAGAACACAGTTATAAGGATAGGTCAAGAACAATTATGTGCACGTAATCAAGAAAAAAATATATTAAATTATGTAAATGTTGTTGTTTATTGCTTTTTAACTGTAGATTGGGACGTAATTGTTTATTTTTTCTATTTGTTATTTAATTTGCAGCATCAACGACTTTTTTTTACAAAATCTGTAATTATATTAACATAACACGACTTAATAAGAGAATGTCTTTGTTTTACCAATGACAAAGAATTACATTTTCAACATCGGGTCTATACAGTTCATATGAAAAGTAAAATTCACTAATCATCTCAGGTTTGTGTGACGAAGGTTCGGTACATTAATATTTTGAATTCAAATTTCAAAGCATATTTAAGAATCTATGAGAAATAAAGCTGTACAAAAGTAATTCGTTTATTGTTATTTTTAGGGATACCGGTACAGATTTAGGGTGATTAACGCTGGGTTTTTGAACTGTCCTATAGAGATTTCAGTGGACAATCACACGCTGAAAGTTATCAGCACAGATGGCAGTGACATCGCACCAACCGACGGTAAGTGGAAAAACGTTTGTATTATGTTACGACAATGCAATGGCCTATACAGTTTCCACATCTTAATCCTATTGATCTAAACTTTTCTATTTTTACGTCGATATTTCATGTATTATGATGCAAATTAAATCTTAGATTAAGCCGTAATAGCGGAAAAAAAAGTATAAATCGGCCTTGCTAAAATCCGTCGTAATAAACCACTAACATTAAATTGTTATACTTGCTACCAGTTACGGTCTTGTATTCAACGCGGTGATTAACAATTACCTTAAGATTTATATCTTGGTTTGCTGCTTAACAAAAGAGCGTTCGCCTAGATCCAGAGGTAGATTAGCGAAATATTTTCATTGCTTAATGAACGAGACTTGTAAATGTTAAGGAAAATTAGACATATTTATAACAGTTATTATTAATTATTGCAGATATATGAGTTGAGATGGGCGATTTCAAAAACGAAAATAAAATAAAATAATCGAAGCTTTTAATAAACGCAATTTTTAGTAATGGTGGCAAAGCCACAACTACTTCACATTTTAGTAATCTCACTATCCGTATCATTGTACAATAACATATACATAGCTGCATCTAGTTTGAAGTTTCGCATCGATCAATTTATTCGATATATAATGGCAGACGCCTGGCGTGCTGTGACGTTGGCCTTTTCATTGTCTATTTGTTAATACTGAAATGCAAAAGTAGCTTTTTAAACTGTAGTCATTGCATATTTATTACAAGATTAATAATATTGCCAAATTAAGTTTGTTTAGTTAAATGAATTTTGCTAAGATTCTCTAGAAAATGACGAATGCGCTGGGAACGATAGAACAAAATTATTTGACGCACATTTTGCAGATGCTTCCTCAACATGGCATAATAATACAATTTTAAGGTTGAAAATGTGTTTATTGTTATGTTTATATATCCATACTTTAAAAAGTACAGAGATATAAACGGTTAAAACACACCAATTAATTTTATTACTTTATTCATGTCAAATCCTTTTGGCAAATAATAAACAACACAACTATTCGAATGTAAAGTTATTGTTCTGCATATACTATCAATATTGACTTTTGTGTCTATTGCGTTTCATATCCATGTCAGGTGGTCAAATATTTATCTACTTCGAGGCGACGGTCAGGGATTATCTGAGATATATTTAATAGAGTTGTTTCCTGCAATATCAACGATTAGGAACCTCGTCTCTGTGGTTATACAGGGCGTTCTAATTAAAACTACCCACCTGGAAAATATCAGAATTAAAAAAAAACCTGAGACATGTCGATTTTCTTTTCGATGGGGACATACGATGGCGTAAGATTTGGTGTCCATACTTATCGTAACCTGATTATTTTTCACGTATACAAACAACACTTTGTATATTTATATTGCGGAGGCCTAGTTCCATTCACAAAGGAATCACCCGTCAAATAGCTCCCAGTTGCTTTGTAAGTCCACAGCCGACTAAGTTTACGTACGCCTTTCTCTCAATGACACCGTGATGAACGGGGAAACTTGTCGGGAACCCGCAAACTTCGTATCTCCTACGAAAACGGACTTTCCCAACGCTTTTTTTTTATTTCCAGCAACATCCCTGGTGACCTACGCCGGAGAACGTTTCGATTTCATCCTCAACGCCGACCAGGACAAGGCCATGTATTGGATGCGCTTCAGGGGCCTGATGGACTGCGACGAGAGGTTCAAGCGAGCCCACCAGGTGGCCGTGTTGGAGTACGAAGGGTTGAACACGACTGTGGATGATTATCCTGAGGGAGTCGCCGATTACGATGCCTCTCATCACGATGGAACCGTAAGTTTTTCAACAAGATTTGAACTTATGGCGTGTTTTGAAGCTTGAAATAGCCCATAGTTGAAACCTAACGATTTTTTCTTGATTCGATTGTTTTGCACATTGCAAAGGGATAACTGCGAGCATGGGCGTAGCCAGGAATCTTCCTAAGGGGGCCCGAGAGCTAGTTTGTTGAACAAAAAGGTAATTCTATACTGGACAAATGGCCAGTAATAATAATGTAATTTTTGAAACTTGATGTATGCAGTACGAATAGGGGGGAGGGGCGTGCCCCCCTGCCCCCCCGACTACGCCCATGTATGAAAACTTATGATCGACTAAAAGTTTTTTGGTTTAATTAAATGTCGTGTTCACTTGAAAAAATTTGCCAAAGGAAACAGATAAATTAAATGCCTAATTAAAGTCCTTCTTAATGGTTTCGACAATAAAACTGTAATTAAATTAAATAGAAATTAATTAAGTTAAATGGGAGGGAAGTTTGCCTGAAGACGTTGCTTATTGATATTTCGGAATGCTAATACAAACATGCACATTTAAAATTTAAACTATCCAAAAAAAAGTCAACATAATTCTACAGGGCGATTCACAAATGGTGACCAAAAATGAATACTCGTATTCTTTGGTGAATTTTAAAACAGTGTTAAACTTATTTAAACAAATATTTTAAATTTTTTTAAATAACTTAAAAACTACTAAATAAAATAATTATTTGTGAATCATCCTGTATAGTTCTAAAAAAATTGACAAAAATAAAAATAGTCTTGGTTTGATGACCCTAACGAGAAACCTAATAAAGTCGAAACGTTTTTACTAGAATAATGTAATTATATTTTTTTTTTCAGCAAATAAATGCTTTGAATCGTGGTATTGAAAGCAATTCGACCTACATCAGTATGCCCCAGCTGGAGTCATTGGAAAAATGGGACACTTCTTTAAAGTCAAAACCTGATCTTCAGTATTATATTGCTTACGATTTTTATGAGCTGGACAATTCTCACTTTCATAAAGCACCATACTACGGATTTAATAACAGTAAGTATTTAGATAAAGAATTAAAAAAATAAATTACTTAAATTTCCAAATATGTGCAATGTTTTTATATCAATAGTTCAATCGCTTGTGCGAGAGAGGGGCCTGGCGTATTATTATTATTATCCCGTACGCCAGATTCTTCTATTTGATGCTTTCTATTAAATTTTTGTTTTTTTGTTTCAGTAAGTGATATAAATCTGGCCCTGCTCACACCCCAGTTCAACCACATCTCCATGAAGACGCCTTCATTTCCGCTTCTTCCCCAAAGAAATGAAATAACTAAGGACATGTTCTGTAATAAAGATACCGTCAAGGACAAAAACTGCGTCGAAAATTACTGCGAGTGCCCTCACGGTATACACGTAAGTCACATATCTTTTCTGTTAGATGTAAAAATGTTTTTGAAAGAAATATATGAACAATTAAATCTAATACTTTCTAAGCTATTTCTGGTGTACCTCAAGGATCCACCAGATTCAGAACACTGAAAACAGATTTACTACTCGGCTTTGTAAAAATAAAGTAAGCGGTAAAGTAAAGTAAGCATAAGACTTGTAGTTTTTCCGGAAATCAAGATAAACCGTTTTTTACCCTTAAAAACTCACCCCCTTCCCCTTCCCGAACTCAGATCGCCCGTAAATTATTTTTCCTTTCATTTCTGTTATATTCTCTTCCTTTTCCAATGGGATTCATCCTACTATATATTTTTTCACTTTTTACCATTTTTGAAGGCTTAAGCACTGGTCTAAATACGTCTCTTGAAGTTATAACGCACTTTCACAAACAGTTCTTGGTTATTGCGAAAGTCATCTGCTGCCTGAAATATTCTTAAGCGTAGTTCTTCTAAGGAGGCAACAGGAGTGGCATCAACAATACTATTTATGTGTCCCCACAAAAAGAAATCCATAGGCGTTAGGTCAGGTGAACGTGCAGGCCAACAAACAGGGGCATCACGACCACGACCAATCCAGCGATTCGGGTAATTTAAATTTAACCATTCTCTAACGGCAAGTGGACTATGTGCAGGCGCCCCATCGTGCATATACCACATCACCTGACGTGTAGCGAGGGATACATCCTCAAGTAATGTTGGAAGATTTTCGTTCAAAAATCTGAGATACTCGACCGCTCCAAGCCTGTGTGGAAGAATAAAAGGACCTACTAGAGTATTTCCTACAATTCCTATCCAAACGTTTAAACTGAAATTATGTTGTTGACATCTTGAAACAAATATTTCATGAGTATTTTCTTCCGACCATGAATGAACATTGTGAAGGGTTTACTGCACCTACTCTAGGAAAATTTGCTTCATCGGTGAAAAGTATATTCATTAGGAAATTTAAGTCATGCCTGGAAATATTAATGTACCATTGACAAAAATCCACGCGGTTAGGTAAATCAGGGTCATTCAATTCTTGCACGGGTTGATGGTGAAAAGGGTATAGATTTTCATGAGCTACATTCCATACAAGACTGTGAGAAACTTGCAGTTGCCTGGACACCTGTCTCGTGCTTGTACCACAGTCTTGTTCTAGATGTTCCAGTATAACTTCCTTAGTTTCAACAGTTGGGACATTATGCCTTCTTCCGGCACCCTCACGATTGGGTTGAATTTTACCAGTTTCACGAAGCCTTCTTTCCACCGACGCCAATGTTTGTCTATGAGGAATCGGTCGGTATGGATATTTTTGGTGGTATAATCTTACTGCAGCGTTACTATTTTTTCTGGATTCGAAAGACATTTGGAGCACGTCGACATATTCGTCATTGGTATAAATATTATTTACCATAATTATTCTGATAATAAATTAATCAATTGGTACTAATTATTGATTGACAGAAAGTGGCAATTTATTAATATGATAAATAACAATTTATTTGTTATGACATCCGCCTACTTTATTTTTACAAATTTTCGCAATTACCCCTTTAGTGAACGGTGACGCATCTAATTTTTTTACTAGAAAACTATCGGTTTTATCGAAAAATTACAAGAGGCAAAAAAGTTGCGCAATTAATCAGTCTTCCCAATAAATATTTTTAAATAAATAATTTGCATCATATAAAAAATTTCTAATAAAATATTACAATGGGGTTGACTGTTTCACTCCTTTATAAAATACGCCAATGATCGAACAAATATTGAAAAGTTGTCTCTTTATTAGTAGGATGCTCATACCAAGTTTTGTGTCTCTAGCATTCCTCATGTTAAAGAAAAAAAATTAAAATGTGAATTTCAACACCCCTCCTTTAAGATGATATATCGCCTCAGGGGTGCAACTTTCATATAAGGCATTTCTACTTCAATCCTCTTATTTTTGGCTCTACATTCACTGGTACCATTTTTGCTACTTCATTTAAAAACACCCTGTAACGTCGCTGATGACGAACATTGTCAACAAATGCGTGTTTTTGAAGCAAAGAACGCATAAAAGATGACGATCATGCCTATATAAGTGATTAACATGTTCTGTTTTACAGGTGCCTTTGGACGCCGTCGTCGAGCTGGTCTTCGTCGACGAGGGCTTCGCCTACGACGCCAACCACCCCTTGCACATCCACGGACACAATTTCAGGATAGTCGCCATGGAGCGGCTGGGCGAGAACGTCACCGTGGAGGAGGTACAGGATAGAGACAGGCAGGGACTCATCAAGAGGAACCTGTTGGACGCCCCGCTTAAGGACACCGTCACCGTGCCCGACGGGGGGTACACTATTGTCAGATTCGTGGCGTCAAACCCAGGTAATTTTATTAATTAAATTAGTTATGCCTGTCTCACACCGGTAGGCGGCTGGAAGTGGCACTCGTTCAGCTCGGTTGGCTTTTTCTTTGATGCTCCTTTGTTTCCTTAGACGTCTAGATGCGCTATTGCAATCCGCGAAACGGGAAATAAAAAATAAAAATCGCGCGTCAATGTCGCAGTCTACTGGGAAATATAAAAGGAAGCGAGATTTTTTTCTTTAAAACAAATAGAAAGATAACGGATATGTCTTGCTAAGAAGATTTCATTTGTTCTATTGCGATTATACAGTAACTTCTTCTAATTTTGAATTTTCATAGGTTTAATTTGAAATATATGTATTTTACCGCCACAAATAAATCTAAACATGCCTAATGAACAAATAGTACAGTTCTCTACACACGCGTGGTAACACCATACTAGGTGATCGCATGATTAATCTGATTGGTTGAGCCGAATCAGGTCATGTAAATTCACACTTTTCTATACAGGGTGGGCCAAAAGTACGGGAATGGCAGGATATCTGGGGATATTCAAGGGGTAGGGTAAAAGTTGTTTATATGAACTTTTTAACTTAAAATCATGCGCAGATTCACCCCCCTTGTATAAAGACATACTATTATAAAACATCCTGTATACAGTCAAATCTATTCTCATTTTGACAATAAAGATGGTAGAACGGTAATATCCTGCAAAGAAATCAACACAAATTGCCCGGAGAACGCGACATTTCGGGGCAAAAACATTTTTAAATGCGTACATTGTGTAGAATAATCGACTGCCTCTTGAGTCCATGAACAAACAAAACAAATTAATTTTAAGGACTTTTCGCAAATATTATACATAAAATATTACACGACCGGCTATCTGTCCTGAAGTTGAAATGTGTCGACCTTTAACCTATATGCCCACCGTCCTCCATCTATCATTTCCTTTGTTTTGCGACTGTGATTCGGAAGATATACGGCAAAATATACTAAAAAGGGCGGTACGCCATTACCGGACCCGCAGGTCGACTGGGATTCGAGTAACATTTAGAAAATCGGAAATTTTTGCCTAATTACCTTTTCGCTTTGCACTATTTTGGACATAGGCCGGGAAAATAACCTGGGAAATGACCATTTCGCAACTTTTCGTTTCGGCAAGCTGAATTTATCACTATAGATGCTAAATATTATGTACAATAACATATTAGTTTCCACAGTCATAAAAATGGGGGGAAGATTGTTTACAGGGTGGTTAATTGTATAATTTTTACGTAAATTCACGTTTTTCGCTTATAACTTTTTTC